GTGATAAGAAATTTGATTGAGTGAATGAGTGTTTACTACTCCCTCTGCTGGTCTTTTAGCAATGTTTAAAAGTTAACGCTGAGGTAAGGACTAGTAACACTTTATTGGGAAAACCTTTTTGGGCATGACAGAGGTTCTTCCCCTTCTTTTCCCTCCTATCTTGTTTAGAAAGCATATCAGCTTGATCTCAATAGATGAAGAAGCCATCTCTATTTCAGGAAATACTCATCAGCATAAGATGATATGCAAATAGGACTCCTTATTTCTGGTGCTCAGGGTGTAGTTTAATCCACCCTTAACTTCCTGATTTCTACTAGCTTTTGATTGAACCTACCTAGTAATTTCTTGGTATTAATGACTGAAGGTAGGCATAACAGATATTTCTTCTTCCCGCTTCTTTTTTGCGTAGAGCCAAAGTATTGGAGCCACTGGCTAGGAAGGTGAGCTAGTTAACAGCAAGGTCAAAGAGCTCTTATGAAATCCCAGCTGAATACATTAAAGCTGTTGTCTTAAAGCAGGAGAGCTTTGATGCTACAGTCAGCCTTCCGCTGAAAAGGCATCCTCTTGTTTTGAGCCTTCTTTCAGTTAAGATGGTGGTGAATAGAGGGAAAAGTTGGTTGAAGGATAACCAGTATGAGTGAGTTACAGGAGTCTGTAAGAATATCAGGGCAAAGCAATGATCTAAACCAGTTCTCTGTCACAAGTCTGCACTTCATGTGAGCACTCACTTCATGAATTCTGCAGGGTGCACGCCACATGTATTCCCTATTACCATCATAAATCTGCATATTCCTGATGTTGCCCTGTTAGCTTCTATCTAAAGGGAACTTCTGCTTTTCTTTACTCATTCTGACTATGTTTTACATCAGTAAAAATGCTTTTCACAGAGAAGTGTTTAAAAGTCTTGGAGTAACAATGGAAGTTCATGAAGAGCTTTTTCCAAGCCCTCAAGTATGCTGAGCCTTTCATAAGCTTAGATCATGCAGATGGGCTTGCTGAGGACGGATACTTCTCTGAGGTTATGAAATAGTGTCTCTGTGTGCTTAAGACAGAACTCTTCAACTGCAGAAATAATTCTGCAAATACTTGCAATGGGTTTAAGTCGGGAGTCATGGTATCTACACTGCAGTTTGTGCAGCGTTACTGTAGAGCGCTTTTTAAGATAAATATTTGTATAGGAATTTTTTAGTGACTTATGTGTATTTGGTATAAGTACAGCAGGATGCTTTAGCAAACGTGTGTCAGTGAACGTTTTCTAGCATTCTGAATTGTGGAGGCACTTTTTTTGCTAAAGCCTGTACAACTTGTGTGCGTTTTAGTAGGGTGAAATGACTAGTGTGAAATGAATCTCATGTTAAAGCTGTTACAGTTGATGGCTCTAATGAGAAATTTGTTGTCATCTCCCTCTGCTACAGGCTTCTGCTATAGTGGAACTCTTAGGTAAGCTCCCATATGTGGCCTCCTACATACCAGCGATACTACTGGCTACAGCATCTTTCATCCCAAAGTGAAACATGATGAACAGAGCGCATATACTTGGTTGAATAATTGTGTTGTATAAATTTCTATTCTTATTTTAAAATTGTGGCTAAAACTGCTTAAGGAAATGGTCAGTCTGAATTTTGCAACTGTATTTGCAAATGCCTGAGATGAAAGCTTTCATTTATGGAAGAAGAGAAATGATCCCGCAGACTGATCTGTAACTCTGTATACTCCTGACTGCTTCTCTGTGCATCTCAGTGAAAGTTTTATCTGGAACTATCTCCTCACTGCAAGCACTAATTTTTCATGAGACCTATAGGAATCTGTAGGACTATAACTGTTCTAGGAACTCTCTTGATTCATTATGCTTGAAGTTGGGCTACGTATTCAAAAGATGCAAGAGAGAGGGAGCAAACACAGTGTGACCATACGGTCTGTTTTTATTGAAAAACTGCCTAAAATCACTAACTGTCAGTGACAGTATTGTGCAGGAAGTATTGTTTTTTCTGGGGCTTGAAACATGTTTGTAGTGCCACTTCAGAGGAAAGGAGCAGTCATGGGGGAAGTGGCTTTGTCCCTCTTGATGGTGAGGAAAGTGAAATGTATTTGTCTGCAGAAGGGTAGTGTTTGCTGCTCGTCTACCAGGTCTAGGGTAGCTGCTATATTAATAGAAGCTTTTGAGAAGCCTGTTAGGGTTTCCAGATGCTCCCTTCTTGAAAAAATCACTCCTTCCTAGCTTCTGTTGTGGCTTTTGCTCTGTCGGTCTGTACTTACAAATTGTTCTAGTCTCTTTTTCTTCCTCTTCACTACAGCTTTTCTTTCTTTTCATTTTTTTTTCTTAATCTTTTTTTGTGCTTTGTCTAACTCCTGCCACCTGTATCTACTGCACTAACCAAAATGTTCTAGGATGGTAGCCTGTTGGTTGGGTTAAGCTACAGATGTGATTGCAGCAGCCCTGGTTACCAATTGGGGCATTTCAACAAAACAAGAGCCTATACCAGTGAGCGCTGGCTTACGCTGCACAGAGAGATTGCTGTCCTGGTACATGTGCGGGTGGCTTTTGAGGAAAATGCAATGGCTTTTGAGGAAAATGCAATGGCTTTTGAGGAAAATGCAATGGCTTTTGAGGAAAATGCAATATCATGCACCCTTGCTCAGTCATTTACTTGATTCAGGAAATCTTCCATCCCAAGGTTGTAGAATTTCCCTTCTATTAAAAGTCCATCTTGCAGGCTGGGAAGGCATTCAGAGTAGTCCACTTGTGATTAAGTGTTTGGTAACCCGTCAACCAAGTTTCAGCAAAGCCTACAAGTGTAACAGGTTTTGTTTTCAGAGCTGTAATGTGAAACTTTAAGAAGGTACCTATTCAGCATTGCTAACAGCTATGTAAATCTAAAAGAAGAAAGACTGAGGGAGAGAATGAAAAATATTTATGCTAACAGTGTTTTCTGCACCAGCTAAATGCTTAGGAAGAAGCTGACATGACATTTTAAAAAAAGTGAAAGGTGATTTGTGGCTTGTCGTGTAATGAAGCCTGAAATTTCAGTATCAGTTAATGCATGATTCCAGTTCAATGTTTCCATCTGAATAAATATCTGCTGTTTAACCTCTTCCTGTTTTTATAAGTGGATTTCAGTCTCCTCTCTTTACACCTGTGTGTATTATCCAAATAATACTGGAAGGCGTTCTCCTAAAGTGGTATTTTGAAGGCGGAGAAGAGCAGAGTACCTTCAGATGAGAAAGTTATCAGTATATATTATTGTAACCTGTAACTGCACCTAACTAGGACTATTATATTTACATTTTCAAATGTTGGTAGGGCTTCTTACAGGGAAGACTTGCCGTTGTAAGGTGAAATACTACTTAGGGGAGGTTATAAAATAAAAGAATGAGTTTCTAACTTAAAGGTGTTGTTTGTCTGAAACCACCTCTCTGATTTGGCCTATTGTCTTAATGCTTTCTTCAAAACCTTTCAAAAGATGCTTTATAAACTACGGGTCCTCTTTTTTCCTGCCAAGAAATACAAAATAAGTTTTGTAGCTGGGAGAGGCAAGTATTGCGGCATGAATCTGGAAAACATTATTCTCACTCGACTTCTGTCATCCTTTTCCCTATCCACTGAATTCATGAAGCAAACTGGATAGTGATAGACAGCTGCAGCAAGTGAGCAAAGATGTGATAGTACTTGGAATCTGCCTCATCCTTGAAGTCCCTGCACTGGTTTGGTGCTAGCAGAGCAGGGGAAGAACCATGGATAGTAACAAAAAATGCTTCTGTGTTCCTCTACGTGGGTAGTAGCAAAGTGTGCCTGTCCTCAGAAAGCTAATGTGCTGTTTCGGTTGTGAAGAACATAGTAGCAGTTATGCTGCTGGATGTTTCTCATGGGTTTTGTCAGATTTGGGGGATGATGCTGGGAAGTGAGCGTTAAATGCCCACTTGCAGTACTTTGATTTAAAAAAAAAAATACTTTTGGTATTCAGGCTGTGCATGGTTAATTGCCAAACACAGTTTTTACATGGAGTAAGTCGAATGGTGTAAGTTGCGCCTGATACAGTGCAGTGGCAGCCCCCTGGCAATTCTGAAAAGAATACTCATCCTAGGAAATAAGCCACCTGGAAGTAAGAAGTTTCCTTCAATCACCTAATAATGATAGAGCTAGAGCAAATGGTTCTGAAGAAGTCAGCCCTTCTTGTTTGAACTGCATCATTTCTACCAGTCTTGAGCAGAGAAACTGTCAATGTCCCAGGATGTCACTGAGGTGGTAGTGCCTAGGACATTGGTTGTCATAAGTATCACTTCAGCATTTGGAAGCGCCTGAGAGAATGCCGCAGGAGAATGCTGCATTGTTTCTCCAGCTCAGCTTGTCCGTTCTACTGTGCTAACTTCAGCATGAACTCGATAATAAAGTTGTGGTAGAGCTGGAAAGGAGGAGGAAGAGAAGTTTCTGTTCCTAGTTCTTTGAATGAAGTCCTGCTTTCACTGCTGACTTGACTAGACAGTCTAGTACCATTTCAGTTGCAGACCTTATGCTCAAGACTGTGGGGATTTCACATAACTAAAATCCTAGGCATTGTGTTATACGTTATCTATCTCTATATATTCGAGCTAATAATACTGTCATATTAGAGAAGACTGAAACCTATCAGGTAGACCTTGATCCTAATTTAACGTAATAATAGTATAACAGATTTTAAATTAAGCTTTCCCAAGGTAGAAACCTGTAAGTTTCTGTCAAGGCTGCAGTGCGTACACAGCTGTTGCGTGTGTTCAGTGGGTATGGTCTACCTGGTGTGGATGCCCTAGGCTCTTCCTTTTTCAGAGGCTGAAAAGATTGAAAAAACTGTACTGCTATCTCTGAACTCTCCATAAATATATGCCAAGATGTGTCCCAGTGCATATGTAATTTTGTAATGGTACTGTTATAGTGGCATTATCACACAAGCTAATTGCTCACTCACTTTGCTTGTGTCTTAAAACATAATTTGGAGGGGAAATAAAGATTTTTCTCTTTGTTTCAGTGTGCAGGGATCCACCCTACAAAGTTGAAGAATCTGGATATGCTGGTTTCATTTTGCCAATTGAGGTTTACTTCAAAAACAAGGTATGAAATCACATGCTTTTCCTCTTTCTATTAGGCAAAAAAAACATATGTAAGTCAGATTTTAGGATTTACATTTTAATTTCCAAGCTTTGTTAAATATTAGCATTAAGAGTATCTCTATAAATGCTCTTCCTCAGTTCAAATTCACTGTAACTTTTAGAATTGTCTAATTTCACTTTTGAAGATATGCCAATGCAATTAGGATTACCTGATAAAGTGACTGACTTAATTATTCAGAAGTGGACACACTTTTTAACTAATGCTTCAGGAAGTTCAATAGCCCCTTTAAAACTTTTAGAAAGGAAGCTGATCTTGATCGTGTTGTTTTCATAATGAACCCATTGTTCTATTATAATATTGCCAGTCTTTCTAATTTGTTCACCGTTTTGTCTTTCAAAAAGAGTCTTTTCATCCCGCATCCTCAGTCTGAAAAAGCGTTCTTTTAGAGCGTATATGAATATTGATTCTACTCCACTTAACATTACCGGGGGAACAGTTTAAAAACAAAACTAGTTTTGTTCTACAAAGCTCATATTATTGTCATATCTCACATTCTCAGTCTAAGTAAATAGTGTACTTACTGTGGGTCCCTTTGGTAGCAAATACAGAGATTTCTTTTAACTTCCATAACAGGGTCTGTATTTCTAACAACTGGTTCAGAAAAAAAGAATCTTGTTTGGGGGGAACAGAGGAAAAAGCTCACATTTCTTGAATTTAATGTACAGTATTTTAATGATTGCTCCCTTTATTTGTCATGTGCTTTGGACCTATTGTTGTACTTCACATTTGCTTGTGAGATACTTGTGTGGTTATTTTATAATACCAAGGTGTAGTTTAACATAAAACACCTACTTGATTAAAGCAATAATCTTCTTTAACATACTGAACGTTTGGTGGAAAGTTAAAAACGAAGGAAAACAGAAATGCATAGTGAAAAGCCTTTTCTGAAATCCTGCTCAGTTACAGTTTGGGTTAGAGGAGTGTACAACTGTGTTAGCTTCTTATGCCTTTAAAAAGGTATTCCAGTATCCCTTTGTCTTTAATGGAAAACTTTGTCAAGGCGCAACGTGGATAATTCTGCGCAGGCACTGTCTAAGTTGTATGTTTTAAACAGCTAATTCTGAAATGTTCCCTGTATCAATCTGTGAAGAGTAGGGCTTAATTTACCCTATTTGCTGATGGAAGAGGAAACAGGACTGCCTCAGGGAGTTGACTGTCTTTTTTGGTATGCTCTTTAGCTCTGTATCCGTTAGAGAAGCAGTTTGATCCCTTGCTGGAAATCTGATTTTATTAAAGAAAAGCAGCACATTCTCTTTAAATCCTTCGTTCAGAGTTCATCCCAAAAGCGGGGAGACAAAGTCAGAAGACTGATTCAATGAAGCATCTCTTCAGAAGGCTTCCAGCCCGACATTTCTTTTTCTGTTTTCCACTCAGACTTTGGCTGCCTTTGCTGACTGTGGAGGCCTGCAAGTCTCAGGAGTTATCCAGCAGGAGTTGTGGCTTCCACTGAAATCAAGAGGGCGCCAATGATTACAGCTCACCTCACCCTCAAGCAGCATGTGGAATTAGGAAGTTTGCAAACATCCCTCACCCCTATTTTGGTGCCATGGAATACAACAAGCAGCAATCAGACTGTGAGTCAGCTAGCTCTTCATGCAGCTGCAGCAGCCAACCCTTTTCTGGGGTCAGTACAATAAAAAGGAAAAAAGGCACAAAAATTGAGTTGGCATTGAGGCAAATTACCACTTTCTCCTGGCTCAGCTACTCTTCCTCCCCTAAGCCACTTCACAGGTATTCCAATACAGAAAAAGAGGAGATAGATTGGAGGAGGAAGAGGAGACAGACCCTCATCACTTATTCAAGGTAGACAACTTTTCCATTTCTGGTTCAGCAAGTACCCTAATGACTAGAGAAGGCAAGGGTACCAAAAGCCATCTGGATCTTGAAGTCAAAGAATTAAAATGTTTCCATTCCTAAGACTAAACAGAAGTTGTTAAAAACCTAATGGCCATTTCTCTCTGACAGAAAATATTCCAAGCTTTAAAGAGTTAGGGAACTGCCAAACCAGCCCTCTTCCCTCAAACCTGCCATATTCAACAAAAGCAAGCTGTAAGTGTTAGCCACTGTGACATAGTCCTTGAAAAGATGCTTTTATGTGTAAGGACCCCCACACTCGAAAATGCAGTTACTTAAGTATAAAGCCAATGAAAAGTATATTTTACCTTCACTGTCAGGACTGTTTTAAAATAATGGCAGTGGTTCTGGGAGCGCTTTGTGTAGTAAAATTCTGTTTTGAAATCCCTGACTGTGATCGTCTAACTTTCGACAGGCTTCTTTGAAGACTCCAGTTTCTAAATTCTTCTAACTCTGCTTTAATGCCAAAGCTGCTGCTACCAACTGATTGCCTGTAACGTTACAGTTTTCTAAGCAGACTGGGAAATAAATCACTTTCACTTTTTCTGCAAGAAATCTTGTGTTACTGCCTTTAAAAATAACAGATATCTTCATCCATGGTTGCACTTGAAAAAGGTCTGTCAAGAAACTAATTCATCTAAGGGAACTACTTCTCTTCTGTCTTAAGAAACAAGTTGCTTATAGGCTTTTAGCTCAGGTCCCTTTCTGTTAACTGCTCCAAGTTCATAGATGGGATGTTGAGGTTGTCCCTTGACTGTGTTTGAAGCCTTTGTTTTGACTTTTACAGTACCTGAGATTTCTGTGCTTCCTGCTCCTCACATTCTTTGAATTCTGAGTCAAAGCTAAACATTTTTTGACAATCAAAACTAAACATTTTTGATGTGCATTTTTTTAAAGCATTTCAGGGATGTTTGTCACTGAACAGAGTGTACAGTTTGATTAGAAATTTAGTGTTGGATATATGCTGAGATTTTCCTGTATTTCTTTCTCCTCTTTTGTTATGGTTCCAATTTTGCTGAAGTCTTTCTTAAATTTGGCCTTTTATGTCTGTTCTGCCTTATAAAACTTCTGTTAGTTTGGCTTCTGTGTGCACATCTGGGCCCTTGGAGGAAGAGCTATTTAGTGTTGTTTTAATAGCAGGTATAACTTCTGGTTTCTAGAATAGAACTGTGTAAGTGTTGAACACAAAATGTACTTAATATCTTTTCTCTTATATTGCAAACTGCATTTTATTCATTGACATTAGTGGTTTTTTATTTTTTTTTGGCAAAGGATTACTCCAAGCAATAGAGCACTAATGATTTCTTCCAAGATACTTTGCTTCTGCTGTTTTATTCTCTCCATATTGGTACAGGGAACATTCAATTTCATTTTTCCACTATGATAGCAGAGAATTTTAATCACTTGGAAGCCGTGATGGAATACTTGAAATCTAGCTGGCCACATTGGTTCAAGGGAATCCAGTCTCATTAATAAAGGAGCAGATACCATGCACAGAAGGTCAAATATAGTTTGCTGCAGCAGTTTCACTTCTCCCTTCCCCCCCTTTCTTCCTGAGTTGTTTAAAAAAAACAAAACAAAACAAAAATGAAATAGTGTTTGACTTCTGTGGAGGAATTTACATTCAAAATTTACTGCAGTGTCTTCTATGCTACCTAGGGCTCAGAAGTATGATTGTGTTTGTGTTGGTGACTGAGTTACCTTGTGTCAGCTGAATCATGATACTTGACTATGCATATGGCTTTTAGCCTATAGAAAACATGATGTAAAATATTTTCAATTAGGTCTTTTCAGGAGAGCTTGAAGTTCATGAAGCTCACGCAATCGCCATGTCTTATCATGGGCGATAGGAGCTTTTCTGATTTACTGTAGCTCAGCTGGCGCTTGGTAAATTCCATCCTGTGTTTAAGAACAAAGAGGGTGGTTAAAATGACATAATTTTCATTTTAACTGATAGTTTTTATGTAGCCCTTGTTTTCAACGTAGTTAGTTTTGGTGCTAGATGTTTCTATCTGGTTATTTTTAACCCTCAGGAAGAACCTAAGAAAGTTCGATTTGACTATGACTTATTCCTGCACCTTGAAGGCCACCCACCTGTAAATCACCTCCGCTGTGAAAAGCTCACATTCAACAACCCGACAGAGGAATTCAGAAGAAAGCTGCTAAAGGCAGGAGGGGTGAGTCCTGCACCCGTGTCAAAAGCCATCACAGTAAAGATGTTGCTGCTTATTGCTGGTGCATGATTAGTACAATAAAAGTTGACTTGACAGTGAAATTAAGTGAAGTGTTTGTGATTAACTCATTGAAGAGCTTCAGTGCTTGTCTTGAAGTGGAACAAGTGAGCAAATGAGTATGTGCCTATCTTAAATACGTGATGAAGATAGTTGCATCTTACCTATTTTAACATCCAAGTGATTCATGTTTACTTCAGCAAAAGCAATAAAGAATTTAGGCCTTATGAATGAAATGTTGCTCGCTTGACACTTCAGAGATGAAATACAGAAGGGCTACTGTGATGGGAATAAGTAACAAGAAAATAAAACATTTTTTGTTCAGGGAAATAACTGCTTTAAGCAGAATAAGACCAGTAACTAGGTATGAGGCAAAGCAAGTTAGAAAACCCTGTGTATAAATACATCTATTCTAATGTAACGTGTAACTGACCCACTCTGAATCAGAAGATTCACAAAGGTACAGCTTTTACCTGTTCAGACTTCTTTATGCCTTAGTTAGAATGAGTATATAAGAAAGACCAAGGGAAGCAAGGCAGTCTGGAGGGTCAAACCTGTAGGAACGTATTAACGTGATGCTTTGTATGTTAGCAGAGAGCATTTCCCATTGCAGGCACCGGCCGGGCCATCGGGGCAACGCGGCGGCTCTGGGCTCCCTTCCCTTCCCTCCTCTCTGCTCCCCAGCAGCCCCAGCACTGCTGCCGACCCCACTGCTGGCAGGCGCTGCTGTCCTGGGGCCACACTGGGTTCTTGTCTTCTGTTCTTGAATGTTACAGGGTTTGTGTTGAGCCATCCCTCCAGCATGACTAGGCCCCTCTGAACAGCAGCGCTTCCCCTGAGAGCGTCAGCTCGCCCCCCAGTTCGGTGTCCTCTGCAAACCTGATGTGTAAGAGTGTGTGCTGTCTCTCTTCCCAGTCACTGGTGGAGATACTAAGTAACCCTGCATTTTTTGAGTTTATACTGGGCTAATGCTTATGTTTGGTTTTGAATAGTCATAAGCAACAGCGTGCTAGTCCCATTTGGCACAGTTGGACAGGAGCTAATGTGGGGCTATCCTATCTGGGGAAGAGGACCTTTGAAAACAGCAGGCATAAGGAGCAGGCACAGTCTGAAAGAGTTCATTATCTTCCCAGAGAAGAGAACTGTTGCAGCTGTAGTTTTATTGGAATAGAAGCATGAGCTGGGCTCGGGGTTTCCATATATTAGGTGGGGGTAGAGTGTCCGTGTCTGGACCGTGTAGGTATTCACTCTTTAGTATGTTTGCAAATGAAATATTAAGATTATGTCCTGAAAAACCTCTGAGGCCATTGCTTTTGGTATTTATCATATCAGATCATTGTCAATGGAAAAGTTTTACCTACTAGCGTAACAAATTTATCCCAGGAGAGGCTTGGGGCTGGGGGAGCAGACAACAAAAAGAAAAAACATATCTTTTATTTTTCATGATCTCTGCCCTCTAATTTTAGGTTTGTTGACTTAATAAAAGCAAAAATGCTGTCTAATTATAAAGTAAGAAGTTTGGGGCATTTTTGTCAAATTCTTGCCCTGAATATATCAGTGGGGTCGTTCTTAAAATACTTTGCATGATTTACTTCTCCAGAAGACAAAAGGCAAACCTCTTGAGGGTTTGGGTTTTTGTTTGTTTGTTTGTTTTCCTTCCTTCAATTCCCCAATTTCCTTGCAAAAAATAGGTGTCTGTCTTGAAGCTATTAGTCTTTCATGCTTTCTTCTATAAATTTTCTACCTTGGAGTTTGCCAAATCAGCTCAGGACAGGTGATGTAATAAGGTTCTGTCTGTCTTTTTACTAAATATCTTTGTGAAGGGCTTACACCTCCCAGCACTGAAAGGCCTATTATACTTGTACAAGTCGTTGTCCATAGGGGTTTTTAGAACAGACAACTGAATGAATTCATGAAACATTAGCTCTCATGAAACTACTGTGCTTTGGGCTGAAAAAAGCATTTACAGGAAAATAAACTACATGAGAAGGGCTTTGCTCTTATGTAAGTCAAATTAATTAATACTTCTCACAGCTGTCTTTAAAATATATATATACAAAATAAAAGTAACAAGTCACTCAGTTTTCTTGATGGCAACAAATCAGACAAAATCGAGTTCATGTTTCTCAAAATGAATGATACCAGATTAATGTAAAATATTGAGTGGTAGCTGTGGGGAAAGCAATTTAACATTGAGGACTTCTGCTGAAATGCTTTTAAATAATGGTGTAATTTGCATAATACCTCAGAGCCTTAAGCTCTTGTTTGTTTTCCTCCAAGCAAAAGTAATGGGAAATGCACTTCCTTTGTAGTAAACTACTAAATATAACTTTTTTATTTCTCGTTTTCATAAACATATATATGTTACAAATGGTATGCCCTTCTGAAGGGAAGAAGCACAGACTTTGTGCAGGACATGTGCTTTGGTTTTAAATCAAGGCGTTTGTTCAAAGTAGAGAGAGAGGTATGAAGAACAGGTACAGTCATATTTGCTGCTGAAAATACTGGGCTTCACTCGACAGAGGAACCTAGAATTACTTTAAGCAGTGCTATTTTCCTTTATTCACTGTAACCTTGTCTAGGTATCTGTATCTTGCTGCCATTTCCTTAATATCCCAGGTAACAAACAAGTGAGAACACAACTTCAGCACAGCTTTGCAGTGCGGCTGTGTCAGCTTTGGCTAAGGCAAATGGTATTTTGGGTGATGTCAATCTAGATAACTTTCATGGAATATTTCTTTCTTAGCGTTATATTTGATATAATCAGAAAGGAAGCATAAGTATTCCCTCAGTCATCATTAGTAAGAGGCCCCCAAGTTGATGGTTTCTCTTCCTATCTGAGAGTTCCTGGTTTTTTTTCAGTCCTTACAGGGAGAAGGCTTTGCTTTGGCTACAGAGATGACATTTCTCTAGTCAGGAAGGTTACTGGGAGCCTTTGGTTCAGTTTTGCAAAGGCCATGAATGTACAGTTTGTAAAATCCTTTGTCAAAGTTTGTCGTCTTCAGAAATATACTTCCTACACAGAACTCCCCCTCTTCCTCAGAAAAGATTTAGTTAGGCTGAACGCATCTCTGCCATTTACCTACTTCCAGTTGACCTTGTGTCTTATAAAAGTTCTCAGAAATGCTTATGGAGAAGGAAAATATTTTTAAGAATACACCGAGCTAATTCAGCCAAAGCATTTGATATTAGTGTTTACATTCCATCTTTTTCTATATACATTCTAAATAATATGCGTTTAGAAAAGTTTGCTATGGAAATTATCACACTGAGCATTTTTTGCTACTGTTTCTGCAGTACAGTACCTAATTATGACAAACTAAGGCATATACAAAAGTGGCTCATATAAATTAGGAGTATATCCCATATTACAATCTATTCGAAATCCTAGAATATGCTCTGTATATGAATGAAGACCAATTTCTTACCAAGCAAATCCTCAAGCTACTAGTACTGACAGAGCTAGGTATGTGCAGGCTCCTAGAGAGCTCATATTCTAGACACAACACATATAATTATGTTTGAATGGGTACAGTAAGACTGAGGTTTAAATCCATTAAACACCAATAAACATCGATCCTCATGTGGTCTTTCGTTTCTGCCTTTGTCAGTTACCATTTCTTCTTCATTTCAGCCTTTGAACCTGAAATCCTAAAGTAGCAGTCTGGGAAAAGAAGCAGAACTGTGCTTCTTGGGTTTGGAGATGGGAAGAGGGTTGACACTGCCTGGGAAATTTTAGTCATTGATTTATTGTTCTTCAGTTTGTAACTAGATTTTTGAATGTTGACTCCCACTAACTTATTTATAAGCAATGTATGATTTTGTTTATGTATTTTCTGTTGTCAGTCATGGCTTGCTGTCTTGGCTTGCATGCTTTTTCATTTCAAGAAAAGATTAGAAATGAAAATTAGATTAAAAATCTAATCTATTTCTTGAGCCAAAAGCAAGAAATTAATTCTGAAGATTCTGAATGACAGCTACATAACAGTTAAATTGGATGTTGCCTCTGAAAGCCTCCTCTTGCTCAGGCATCACCCGTTTCAATATGATTTTACAAACAACTTTTTAGAGTCTTGAGGGAAAGGAAGGTGAAAATATTTTCAGTTCATGTGAAGACAGCAATATAATACAGCCTTGTACAGTGTGCACTTTTGCAATAGTACTCCTCACTTTTTGAAAGGAGACTCCATTCCATTGTTTACTCTTTTAACTGGACTGAACAAAAAACATTTCAGGGTTAGGTTTTCTTTCCTAAAAGGAAGCCTTATAGGTGGTCCTTAGAGAGCAATTATCACAACTTATAAAAACACTACAATTTATAACATTATTACAAATACACATAGTTATTAATGGTATGGTTTGAGGCTTCAGATCTAGAGAATGCAAAGAATAGGTAACTGTTAGAGTAGCAATGACTCTTTTTAGCAACAGATGTTTTCTTTTTGTCTGCTTTCTGTAAAATGGGTATGGAAGTGCAAACAGCTCTGCTGTACCAGGCACAACTCTCCCCTTGAAGACAGTTGATCTAGTAATGAGTAGAGGAAAGAGGAAAGAAACATTTTGAGATACAATTTTTGAGGTACAATGTTTAGAAAAGAGTAGCTTATCAGATAAGGTAAAGAGGTTGAGGTTTTGCCAAAAGGCATTGCATTCATTTATTGGAGGTTGTTTCAGATCCTCATGTTTTCACTCCATAACAGTTGACAAACGTCTCTGTAGTGACTTCTGATGCTATATCATATATGTTTTGAAGCTTGTGTTCCTAATTTAGTGTAATGAAGATGAAATTGTGGGGATTTCCCTCTTCTCTCTACCCTCCCTCTTTCCTTGCCATTCCTCTGTGTCTATTGGAATAGTTGGCTTCTATCCACAGCCAGCCTAAGGTATAATGCTGCTTCAGGCAAGGGATTATCTTTAATCTTATGCTTTTCATAATTAAGTAACTG